GAGATTGTGAACCAAGAGTTTTTGTGAGATTTGAGTGAATTTGCACAAGATCGAAGATGAACGATGAAAATGGTAGCTTGAACACAAAGCTTCCAGTCTTTGATGGAAAGAATTAGAATCGATCGATGATTCAGATGCATGTGTTGTTTGGCGCTCAAGATATTCTTGATATCGTCAATGACGGTTACACAACGACTGCAGTAGATACAACTGAAGCACAAAGAAACGCGCATAGAAAAATGAGGAAGAATGATTAAAGGTGTTGTTCTATATATGTCAGTGTGTGGATACAAATGTGTTTGAGAAGATCGCTGATTTAACGACGGCAAAGGCTGCGTGGGACATACTAGTACGATGTTATGAAGGTGATGTATCAGTGAAGAAGGTAAAACTTCAGTCTCTACGTAATAAGTATGAGAATCTCAACATGAAAAACAATGAGAAGATACCTGATTACACCTCCAAAGTGGTTCTGATCACCAATGGGATGAATTCTTGTGGAGAGACTCTCTCTGAACAAGTAATCGTGGAAAAGGTACTGAAATCACTTACTCCTCAGTTTGATTACATTATTATAGAAATTGAATGCTCTAAGGACCTTAGCACCACGAGAATTGAAGAGCTATAGAGTATTCTATAGGCATAAAATTTGCGTCTGACTGAGAGAACCTATGAAAGAGAGGCAGACCAGGCTCTGAAGGCGTCTTCTAGTAAGAAGAATCAGAAGCAGTTTTAGTCAAAGCCCAAAAATCGGTCAGAGGTCAAAAAGAGACATGGTGGTGGTTATCAAAAGTTAGAAGCCTTCAACTCTAATGAGAAGAAGCATCAGAAGGAAAATGAGAAGTTTGAGAAGAAAAAGGTCAAATGCTACTATTGTTAAAAGTTTAGCCACTTTGCTGTTGAGTGTTGGTCAAATAAGGAAATGAAATCAGAAGAGGTAAACATAGCCAGAGGATAGTCTGATGATGAACCTGTGCTATTGATGACTTTTGAATCTGATGGGGGATATTTGGCAGGCTGATGGGATATGAACACTGATTGCTTAAATCACCTAATTGGAAATAAGCAATGGCTGATTAATTTTGAATCTAGAAAGAGGACAAAGATCAGATGCGTTGATGATAAGTATCTAAATGCTGAAGGAATAGGAAATGTCATGGTCCGAGTGAAGAATGGAAAATTTATTCTGATCAATGATGTTTTGTATGTTCCTGGTATGAAAAGAAATCTGACAAGTGTAGGTCAACTAATTGAGAACGGTTTCTCAATTACTAAGAAGGACAATCTCTGGAATTTGTATGATTCTGACCAGAAGCTGATTATGCAATCTAAATAGGGAAGCAACAGAACATTAAAAGTGAATATGGAAACAACTGAAACTAAATACCTTAGTGCAGAATGTGATAGTGAATTGTGGCACAAGATATTGGGGCATCTGAACTTCAGAAGCTTAAAGAATTTCAGTCTTAATAAGCTGGTACATGGCATTCCTAAGAGTGTAAAGCATGAGAAGTCATGTGAGATATGCATGAAATGCAAGCAACCTAGATTGCCATTTTCATTAGAAGTGGCTTCAAGAGAAAAATATGCTTTGAGAGTAGTACATTTTGATGTATATGGGCTATTTGAACTACTTTCACTTGGAGGAAATAAGTACTTTGTGTCATTTGTGGATGAGTTCACAAGAATGACATGGATAACACTCATTAAGTTTAAGCATGAGATGTTTGTTGAGTTTTAGAAATTCATAGTGAATGATGAAAAATAGAGTGGTTAGAATCCTAAATTCTTAGAACTATGGTGGAGGTGAGTATAACTCATCAGAGTTCAGAAGGTTCTGTGGAAGGAATGGAGTTGAACATGAGGTTATTGCTCCATATACCCCATAACACAATGGTATTGATAAAAGAAGAAACAATACTTTGCTTGATATGACATGGAGCATGCTGAAGAAGAATAAGCTCCCTCACACCTTGTGGGGAGAAGCTATTGCCACTGCAACATATATGCTCAATAGATGTTCCACAAAGAAGCTTAAGGGAGTAGTTTCTATTCAAAAGTGGACTGGAGATAAGAAAAATGTGAGTCATTTTAGAGTATTTGGTTCTGTTTGTTACAAACATGTTCCAAGTGCTACTAGAAAGAAGATGGATGATAGAAACAAAGTAATGTTAGTGATTGGGTACCACAATACAAGTGCTTATAAGATTTATTATCCAGTCATTAACAAAGTTGAATTCAGCAGAGATGTTATGTGAAGGAAAAATAAGCATGGGATTTGGACAAGTCTCAGTCCAACTCGGTTGCAGTGTTAACACCTGAGTTAACTTCTGAAGATATTTCAAATTATGAAGGAGAATCTTCCTCTGAAGGAGATCCTGCTCTGAAGATGATTTAGAATCTCAAGGTGACTCAGATGTTGAAGTTGAGTCTGAAGACAAATCTGACTCTGAAGGTGAATTTAATTCTGATCCAGATTCTGATGATGATGCGGAATCTAGTGGTAATCATGCATCTGAAGATGGTTATGCCTCTGAAGGTGGTCCAACCTTTGAAGGCAGTCTATCATATTATACTGTTCCAGTATTTGAAGAAGACTCTGAACAAGTTGAGAAGCTACAAAGAATCATACAAATACCAAAATGATTTGTAGAGTTTGACATGTTTCAAGATAATGAGATAGACTATGAAGAGGAAGTCATTCAATGTGCTATGTTGGTAGACTCTAAACCAGTCAGTACTGAAGAAAATTTCAAGAAGAAAGTGTGGCTGAAGGTTGTGAAAGAAACAAAACTTAGGAGTTGAATGGACTTCCAAAGAACAAGAAAGCCACCAGTGTATGATGGACTTATAAGTTAAAATTGAAACCAGATAAAACCTTTGGCAAAATCAAAGCAAGGTTAGTAGCTAGACGATTTCTACATAAATCTGGATTAGACTACTTTAAAGTGTTTGCGCTTGTAGGTAGACATGAAACAATAAGACTGGTGATTGATATAGTTGCTAATAGAAATTGACCTCTGATGCATTTAGATGTGAAATATGCATTTCTAAATGGTCCTTCACAAGAAGAAGTTTATGTGTCACAACCTCTTGGATTTGTGAAAAAGAATCAGGAACAGATGGTGTACAAGTTGCATAAAGTCTTGCATGGACGGAAGCAAGCTCCCGAAGTTTGGAATTTGAAAATTGATTCATTTGTCAAGCTTCGAGGATTCAGAAAATGTGAGATGGAGTGTGGTGTTTATGTTCAACATACATCTAATAGCAATATAATTTTGGCGTGTCTATATGTTGATGATATATTTCTAATAGAGAGTTGTTCATATGAGATAGCTAAGTTCAAGAAGGTGCTGATGAATGAGTTTGATATGAATGATCTAGGAAATATGGTATTTTTTCTAGGGATGGAGATTTTGTACTCTGATAAGGGTATAATCTTGCATCAGCTGAAGCATAAACTTGAACTTCTGAAGAGATTTGAGCTAATAAATTGCAAGTTTGCAATCACACCTGCTGAAACATATCATAAGCTAGATTCTGATGTTGAGGATGATGATGTAGATGCTACAACTTTTAAATAGTTGGTAGGTTCATTAAGATATCTCCGTAATACCAGACTTGACATTTGCTATGCATTTGGAATGGTATGTAAGTTTATGAACAAACCAAAGTGGTCACATTACCAAGCTGCTGTCAGGATACTAAGATATATTAAGAGGACTTTGAGGTTTGGAGTTTTGTTCCCCTTTGATGATAAATCTGATTTTGAGCTAATGTGCTATTTAGACTCTATTTGGCGTGGAGACAAAGTTGACATAAGAAGTAGTTTTGGATATTTCTTCAAGTATCTAGAAGGTCCCACTTCCCGGTGCTCCAAGAAGCAACCAATGGTTGCATTGTCAATCTGTGAAGTTGAGTTCATTACAGGTTCTTTGTCTGCGTGTCAAGATGTTTGAATTTCAAACTTACTGCAAGATCTGAAGATCAAGGTGAGCAAACTTGTGAAGTTGATGATTGACAACAAATCATCTATAAGCCTTGCCAAGAACCCAGTGCTACATGGAAGGATCAAGCATATTGACACATAGTTTCACTTTCTAATAAATCAAGTTTAAAGTGGAGCGCTTGAAGTTGTTTACTGTAACACTTAGAAGCAGCTTGCAGATGTGATGACCAAAGCAATCAAAACAGAATACTTTATCCATTTGAGGGATGAGAATGTGTTGTTGATTTTAGTTAGCTGAATATGAATTAAGGGATGATGTTAGTTGTAAATAATTTCATTTGCATTTGGAGTTTGGTTTTGAATTTCATTTAGAGACTCTATTAATTTAAATACTGAAAGTTAGTTTCAATTTAAAAAGCAAATTCATTTTGTAACTAATTTCAATTCTGTTAAAGAAAGTTAGTTACAAACTTTTTTCTCTATCATTCTCTTTCATTATTTTCTTTATCTTTAACCTTATGCATAAAAAATATTACTGCCAAATATAAAATTTAAGTTATATAATAAAATATTACTATTTTAATAAAAAAGAATGATATTCTTACACCAAATAATTGACACGCACTTTCTTACAATTTTGATTTTTTAATTGAACTTAATGATTATATTTCACTTTTTCTAATACAAATAAACACATGCTCTCTTCAATAAAATATGGTTTAAAAGCTATACGTATAATCACATTTTTTATACATATCATAGTATATCTTACATATATGTGGCCTATTCATTGAGTTGCGTCCGTACGTACAATACACACCATGTCGTGACAACATGTTTTAATAACAACAATAAAACAAATATACATATAAAAATGGCACTGATCCGCAAATAAAATCACAACTTAGGGCATTTTGATAAAGAGCCTTCAACACAAAAGCTACCTCAATTTCCTATATAAATATGTAGAAAGAGAATGCTATAGCAAAACCACAAGTGAGTTAGAAAGAGAGACACAAAAAATAGTAACAAAACATAAAAATACAAAAACATGAACCATTACCAACAAGACCAAATGATGCTCATTTCTCAGCTATTTCCTGCAAGTGCGCATGCTTACACTGATATACCTTCTCAACAAGGTTAGCATCAAATTTTTCAACACATAACATTTTCTTGTATACATCATGAATATTCAATTTCAACTTAGTTATATATATGTTCTTTCTTTTGCATTTTTCAGTGGAGAAGAAGCAAAGACGCAGACGTAACAAGAAGAGTAAAGGTGGAGATAACACCGCAAATGAAATGAACAAGAAACGGAAACTCAGTGAAAAACAAGTAATTCTGTTGGAAGAACACTTTGGAAATGAACACAAACTTGAGTCAGAGAGAAAAGATAAACTCGCAATGGAACTTGGTTTGGATCCAAGACAAGTTGCTGTCTGGTTTCAAAACCGTAGAGCTCGTTGGAAGAACAAGAAACTCGAAGAAGAATACACAAATCTGAAAAAGTTCCATGAATCTACCATGCTTGAGAAATGTTTGCTTGAAACCGAGGTATATATCTCTTTCTATCTCTTCTTATTCAAGAAATTTTTTAACTGAAATCATTTGAATTTTCACAGCATAACACTAACGTTAATTTGTGTAAAAGAAAAAAACACTAACGTTAGTTTCAGACAAGCATGCTATGATGTTTCTTCTCTAGCGCTCTTGATATTGTTATAACTTTAGCTCTACATGTTTGTTGCTTTTTAATTAATTACTTTGTTTATTTATTTATTATTTTGCTTAGTTTAATCTAATTAATTCCGTAAATATTAAACACTCGCATGCAACCTGTTCTTTAGGACAAAGCAAAATGAAAAAAAATATATAAAGTGGAAACTTGACCCTACCACATCACATGAACATGCATGCATTTGAGCTCTAGGCTCGAAGAAATCCAAGCCGTTGAAATTATTAATTTCTCAGTTCTCAGCCACAAGATCAATCATATAAAAACAAAAACATTACCACCTTAGTAGACATCAAACAACGCTGTTTCTTTCAATTGTTTCAAATGTCCGTACAATATTATTTCATGTTGAATGCATCTATCTTAAGGTCCACTAATAATGAAGAAGAAACGTGACATACATATGTTGCCACGTGAAACTTTATAACCCTCTAATCAATGTCTACCACATGTCTTTTTCATAAGTTTAGATTAGATCTTATCATCATCTTAACTCTTAATTACTATAATTAATTTATTAATTTTTTTTTTAGGTATTGAAATTGAGGGAACAACTTTCTGAAGCTGAGAAGGAAATTCAGAGACTTCGAGAACCTATTGAAGTAGTTCCAACTAACAGTTCAAGTACTTCATCAATGTCTCACTCAATGGAAGTAGTGGAACCACCACCATTTTTTGATGAATTTGAAGCTGATAATGTATATAATGATAATGTGTTTTTGATGCCTTACTTCAATGACATCGAATGGACATATATCTAGTAGGAAAAAAATATTTTAATAATTTAGCAATTGTAGATAATGTGGATTACTAATAATATCCTAATATGTAAATTAATTGGTAATTATCTAGTGTGTTTAATTTGACTATGGTTTCGAAATGTATAACCATTATAACATTAATGAATTTTATTTTGACCCTTAATGATTGTCTTTTTTGGTCTCACTAATTTGGTTATTGAAAACCTTCTCTGTAATATTCGATATCGGTTGAAAAATGCTACATTATTAGTAAGATTTTGCCGTGAATTCATAGAAACTATATGGAATCTAAACTCAACTGTCACACACCACTGGATTCAAACTTAATTTTGATATATAAGATTTTCAACTTCTTTATAACATGTTTCTAATCCACAATTTTTTGTTGCAATTAAAACGCTGTTTCTAAGTTAGTCCATCCCAATATCACATGTGTGTCACAAGACCATCTTTCACTACTATGAGGTGTGAAAATATATTATGTTTAAAATTAGAAGAAGATTGACACTATGGCAAAATAGATTTTTATCTATCGAGAGAAGGATGACCTTGTTAAATGCAATTTTGTCTAACATTCCTATTTCCTTCTTTTTGTTTTGTAAGGCCCCTAAAAATATTATTAAATAAAAAAAATAATGATTTAAAGATTTTTTTTAAGGAGACGGTGAAGCTACACTACAATAAAAAACACTATTTATTTCGGTTAAAAAATAAATCTTACCTCGATTTCACAGGCGAGGTAACGAACTGTATCATGAAAAGTGAAAATTTTACCTCTGTGTTTTAAAAAACCCGACAGTATGTGTAAATGTCATGAGTACGATCTCCAAGAAGACCTTTTTAGAATTCTAAAATGGCGAAAACACATGTTCTCTCGATTTTGACATTTCACCGAGGAATATATCACATTTTCACCTCGATTATCTCATAAAACTGACGGGTAAACCAATTTTAAGTTTATTAAATCTAATGTGGATTACTTATTTCGTTAAATCCTATACTGAACATATAAATTCTCAAAATTGGTTAGGAAAATGATTATATGAACAATTATGTTTTATTTAAAGAACAACTTACGTTGATTAGTGATTTTGAAGCATCTTGCAACTCATCATTCATCTCACGTTCTTTTATGGTTAAAATCTCTTCAATATTTCAAATACTTTATTTTTTACTAATTCATTCCTGAAAGTATAAAATTCTGTGCTTTGAAATATGAACAAATATGAAAGAAAGTTGAACGAAAACTAGAAGCATTGGAGAGATTTTAACGATAAAACAACATGAGACAATTGATGATATGCAGAATGCTAGAAAATCATTAATCAGTATAAGATAAGTTTCAGATACAACATAATTTTTATATGATTATTTCCAAAATCAATTTAATAGGTTACATGTTCAAAGAAGGGTTAGTGAAACAAACAATTGACATTAGATATAATAAACTCAACCTAACAAAAGAAGATAAGAGTTGCACAAAGAATCACAAAAAATATAATCTCAATATCAATATCATTTTCAAACTCAAACACAATAACAACAAGAACAACAACGTCAATAAACTACCTCTAGGATTTAGGGTCTCAACAAAAAGAACAACAACATCGACAAAAACAACATCAATAATTACAACAAAAAAACATTAAAACCTCTAGGTTTTTTAATCTCAACAACACAACAACAACAACAACATGATAACAATATGAGTAGTGATGTTTGATGTATCAGATCTCTAAAAAATAAGTAAAAGAAGATGATTTGGATCTCTAAAGAAGAAATGAGAACACTAAACACATAACATCTTTGTATTGAATATGATAATGCACTCCGATGATAAAGTAAGAATTGTGAGAAATAAGGCAAGTACAAAATATGTGTATATCAGGGTGAATATCGGATACCTGACCCTCTCAAATGAGAGAGTTTTTATAGTTCCTCCAACGCTTGGCCATTGGTCCCTATTTTCGGGACGAGATAACCGTTTGTCGAAGAATAAGTAACTGCCAGAACTAACCGTTGGAATGGGTAGAGGTGCCCATAACTAGCCGTTGATACGACTCAGACGTCTTGGCTGTTTCTGAATGGTGGAACCGTGCGTGACAGGCAGGGACTGACGAGGAGAAGTGATGTGATCAGGGGTAAACTTGTCAGCCTCCCCTATTGGAGGGGCATAAAGGTAAATGTTCTCTCAAATTGGTTGGACTTAGGCAATTGGGCCGTTCTGGGAGCAGAAGTGGATTGAACTATGTCTAGTCGTTGGGCCAGTCAGGAACAGTATCCCCCCAAGTCGTTGCTTCCGAGCATGGGAGTGATGACTTAAGGACAGTCCGAATTCAGGGCAAGATCACCGCTAGCCGCAGAGAATGAGTTGTTACCTTGTGCCCGCGGGAATTTGTGCTCGGGCGTATGTTACGCAGATTGTCGGGGAGCTCAAGGTACGGGGAGACCAACGGTTGATGGGATCTGAAGAGGGAAAGTGTCATGTGTGCCTCGAGTCTTGTGCTACATTTAATGCGTAATGATGACTAGGCTAGGGCCATGATGTTGCCCCTAGCCACTCGTGCTCGTGCATGTGCCAAGAATTACCATAAATAGAGCGAGAAACTGCTCATTTGCACCTTTCACTTCTCTCTCTTCCTTCGTTCTCTGTCTCTATATTCTGTCGTTCGCTTCCATCAAGCTCCGACCGACCACCGTACCAGCACTAGCCAGAGCCACTTGAGCCCAGAAAACTCGTCCTCGACCACGTAAGTATACTAATTCCTTGTTTGTTGTATGTTTTGTTGATTTCTGGTTCTTAGATTGCATGCGATTAGGGTTGTAATAGAGTAGTTTTAGGGCGTTTTTCTTGTGGTTGTTGGTGGCAGATGGTGGTTTGAACACTTTCTCTGATACCGGCATCGCAGGAACTTTGGACTTAAAGACTTTTAGGCTTTTAGATGATCTTGGTATCGTAGCGACACAATGGTGTTCGTCATCGGAGGGAACCACGGATTTCGGTGTGCTTATGAGCTTTCTGGTGGTTTTCCCTTAGAGATTCTGGGTTTTGTGCTCGGGTAACTTTCCTCGAATGTGTCAGGAAGATTGCCTGGGCATGCCCCTGTTGTTGACTGTGTCATTTGAGTAGGCTTAGGTTAGGGACGTTGTCCTCGGGCCTTCACGTGCCCTTTCACTTGGCTAGTAGTGGAAGGGTGGATTTGATTTTGTCATCGAATTCACTTTTATCCTCTGCTTTTCAGGTAAAGGAGATGTCGACGGGGCCGAAGAAGAAATTTTGAGAGACATATCCAAGGAGAGCTCCTCAGAAGAAACTGAAACTGATGATGCTTCCATGTCTCCTCACGCTAGGGAGGTTTCCGTTTCGAGGGCCATTGTTAAAGAATGGTCTGTGGTCGAACCAATGGAGCATGCCTCGCTCTTTGTGACTTATACTGGGGATATTTTTACAACAGTGGAGGCCGAGGGAGGGTGGAGGGTCCACTTCCCCAAGGAGGATGATTGCATATGCTCGTCGTACGAGGAAAGGTTTCCCATGTACGAGTACGTGTTTAAGGAGATATGATTGAGGATCCCTTCTCAGATTTCGAGAGGGCAGTCTTTGTGCACTTGGACCTGGTGCCCTCCCAGCTGTACCCAAATTCGATTGCCTTTATGAGGGCATTTGAGCTAGTATGCGAATATCTGGAGATTGGGGTTACTCTCCCGCTCTTCTTCACCGTCTTCCACCTCCGGTGATAGGTGTCAGGGAGGAAATTTGGCTGGGTCTATTTGAAGCAGGGGAGAAGCTATTCAAACCTTTCTCTGAGTCTATATGGACTTTCAAAGAAAGGTTCTATGTGATTGAGCCCGTTTCGGAGAAGGCCATCAACTCGACCTTTGTTTAGGAGGTCTCTACGGATGAGAACGAGGAGGATTTGATAGGCGAGGACGATAAGATAGTTTCCTGGAGGTTGTTCCAGTTTCCTTTCTGCTGGAGTGAGGCTCATTTTACCCGCTCAACTGACGAGTATATAGTTGTTGTGGTGGAAATAGGATCACAAACTATTAATGAGTTTGAATCGCAATTCAATTCACAACCGCTCTTTGATTTATCCGAAGGAAAAGGTCAAAAGAGGGAAAACCTATTTTGCATCGTAAACACAATGCGGGGAAAGATCTAGGGTTCGGGGGTTGGTTAAATTTAGGGAAGGTATTAGCACCCTAAACTTCCGTAGTACTCTACGGTAACCTTTTTGTTCAAATGTTTACTATTTTGCTTTATTCATTTGCTTAAGGTATATGTACAAAAGATTAAAAGTGAGAAAAGAGACCTAAGGGGTTAGTTCTAAGTTTACTCGACAAGACATCGCATCTTGTGCCTACGTATCCTTACGGGAGTGGAATCAGAGTAATCGTAGTTCCCCTCAAAAGGGAGGTTAGAGACTTCTTGACTGTAGTCAAGGTCTCAAGGGGAATAAACGCATCTTAAGGACACGCTTACGTGGGGTGTAGAAACTCCAAATCTCTACGTTGAATTGTTAAGTGAATTAGGGTTAGGTTAGGGATTCCGCGGCGGGAAACCCTAAAATGAGCGCGGCGGCTCTTTGACCTAATGCTAGGGGTAAAATTGTAATTTGGCCTGCGGCGAGGCATTTGTGAAAATTAGGGTTTGTAAAGGTGTAAGGGTTTGAAGTTGAGGACTGTTGGCGCGGCGACCAAAAGCTAGACCTAACCTTCGGATGTGCGATGTGACAGGAGTATTGATGAATGTGTGAGATAATTGAATTATGCAAACAGAGAATAATGTCGATAATTTAAACCATGCAAGCAGAAATTTAAAGGCAAGAATTAAAGCGCGATTATTAGGATTCGCGAGGTTACAACCGAGAAGCAGTTACAATAATAATAAAACTTAAATAAAACACCACGCAATAATAGTAAACATGAGCTGCAAATGATGAACACTGTTAATAAGCAAAGTTAGACTGTAATTGGACGAGTCAGGAGAAAAAGTGCAA